TTTCAAATTTAGTATTTGAAGTTCGTAATGGATCCTACAGCCTATTCCAGAAAAATGTCTGTGCAGGTCCACGTCTTCGTATAGCCCCCATATAACGGTATTCCCCCCAATATTCGGTATTTTGATGATTTTAGCGACATTATTTACCGGAATTGTTTCAAATTTAGTATTTGAAGTTCGTAATGGATACTACAGCACAAAACAGAAAATGGGCCATGGTCCACGTCTTTGTATAGCCCCCATATAACGGTACCTACCAATATTCGGTATTTTGATGATTTTAGCGACATTATTTACCGGAATTATTTCAAATTTGGTATTTGAAGTTCGTAATAGATACTACGGCTTGAGACAGAAAATGGGTCATGTAGGTCCACGTCTTCGTATAGCCCCCATATAACGGTACCCCCGATATTCGGTATTTTCATGATTTTAGCGACATTTTTTAACGGAATTGTTTCAAATTCCGCATTTAAAGTTCGTAACGGATACTACATCCTATGACGGAAAATTGTCTGTGCAGGTCCACGTCTTCGTATAGCCCCCATATGACGGTACCTCCCGATACTCGGTATTTTGATGATTGTAGCGACATTATGCGCCGGAATTGTTTCAAATTTTGTATTTGAAGTTCGTAATGGATTCTACAGTCTATGCCAGAAATTTGTCTCTGCAGGTCCACATTTTATAACCCCCATGGTACCTCCCTATATTCGGAATTTTGATGATTTTAGCTACATTAGAAACATATTTCTTTTTCAAGTTTCGCATTTGAATATTGTAATGGCTTGTGACAAAGTTGCTTATGCAGGTCCACGTCGTCGTATGGACCCTAATTTGAGGCTACATTCGGTGTTTTTAAGTTTTTAAAAGATTTTTTTAACGGATTTTATTTTTTTGAAAATTGCCAAATTTGTACCAAATGGTGGAGGGTATACAAAGTTCGGCCCGGCCGAACTTACAGCTTTTTTACTTGTTAAGTTTCAATTGGGTTATGAGGTACTGGCCGAGATGTTTAGGAAATAAATGATTTTTGCTTGCAAGAATCACATTCTAAACCTTGATGAAATTAAAATATTTAAAATCTTTATTACCATTCTTTTTTATTTTTCTTAATTTTGCATATTCTATTACCCAGAATTAAAATTCATAATTTTCTTTTTTTTTTCGAAATTCTAAGAGTAACGGAAGAGATTTTCAAAATTCAAAGATTTCATGTTATTCATTAAAAACCCAAATAAATAAAATTCCATGGAAATAACGTTCCTTGCATACTCCTGTACACATACACACAGCCAAATATTAAAACTAAAGTATAAAATATATGTCATGGTGTATATAAGTATATGTGTTTGTCAATCTTTGTGATACTGATATGTTTTTCTTTGGAAATATGAGATTTAATATGAAACCCATATATATGAAAACGAAAGATGTAAAAACAAGTCAAGGCCAATTAATTCATATTCTAATCCAAGTTTTCTACAAAAAAAGCAGGACATTTCTTAAAAAAATATTGATGTACAAGGAATAGTATAATTCAGTAAAATATTCCAATTTAAGGAGAAATTCCCTTCAAATTGCAAAGGTTTTTTACGAGACAGTAAGAATAATGACTTTATTCAATATATTTTTTTAAGAAAATAATTCCAGTTATAATTCCACTTGTTATTGATTCTTAAATTACCGTCCCTGGAGTCCATTTTTTCCAAATTATTTGAATTATTTCGAATCGAATTTGTTCGAATCGTTATTATAAAAATATTCAATTATTTTTTTCTAAATTATTTAAATTATTTCGAATCGAATTTGTTCGAATCGTTATTATAAAAATATTCAATTAAATCCTTTAGAAGAAACTCTAATTAGGCATTTTTACAGAACAGTTATATCCGATTCTCAGTAACAATTATTTGTTTTCAATTAAAGCCATGTACTGTATCTTCACAATTCATTAAGTGTACATAATACAATTCATGCAAAAGTTTGGACCGAAAAGGTTTACATCCTATGGGGTTCTTACATGCCAACTAGATTTTTTCTGTGAAAGTAGAATAAAAAATCTGGGATGGAAGGATTAATAATATATTAACCTACAGTTTTATAAATAGCCTTAATATTTTGAATGAAAAAAAAAAAAACTAGTAAAATAGCGGCCAAATTTGACCCTGCCGAAGTTTTAATACATTTTGAAGGAACTTGAAAAATTAATAGAAATAAAAATCCGTAGAAAATTACCACTCATGGAGGTTATACGAAGTCGTGTTCCTTCATAAGTAATTTGTTGTCATAGGCTGTAGTACCCATTACGAACTTCAATTATGAAATTTGAAACAATTCTGGTAAATAATACCGCCAATATACCGAACATAGGTAGGTATCGTTATATAAAGACGAGGACCTGCATACGCAATTTTTTGTTATAGGTTGTAGTATTTATTACGAACTTTAAATACGAAATTTGAAATAATTCCGGTCAAAAAATGTCTTTAAAATCGTAAATGCACCGAATATAGGGAGGTACCGCTTCATGGGGGCTATAAGAAAACGTTGACCCATTTACTAACATAACCTTATGCACATGTGTACAATTTTACATCCGAAATGGTAGACCTCTACCCTGTTCTAAATTCAAACTCTATGTAAAACTTTGAAACTGAAAAAATGGAAAATTTTCTGCGTTTGTTCCCTTTTTTCCCTTAAATACTTGCGAACATCTCCAAAAACAAGAGGCTCCTATTCTGGCCTTAACCTAACTAAATGAAATACTTCGTGAGGTTCTGAATATAATTGTGACCTGTAGAACTACATAAAGTCAGTACCACTAAATGGTGGGTTGGGACCAATATTTAGAGGTTTTACACAATTTTGGCCCAATCAAGATTATTATGCACTCAAAGTAGGGTAGCGCACAATTTTCCGTTAACCGTGGTCTATAAAATTTCGAATTGTAATATAATTGTGATGAGATTAAAATGGGAAAATTTAGGATAGACAATAGCAAATAGGTCTTTTATAATTTCAATTATTTTTAATTTAATACCTTCAAGAAAATATGGGAATATTGAAAATGTAGCAGCATTATGTACCCTCTACCATTTGTTTACAGGTTGAGATGAAAAAACTGCAACCAACTTCAGACTGCTAAGCCACTCGTCCGACAGCTGTTAAAATTATTCCAGTGACAGCTTATTATATTGTTCACAAGAGTACAAAAGCATTTTGGTGAGAATTTTCAAGGAAATGATTCGAAAAGTAAATAAGAGACTTGATCGAAACCCGCGCCGCAGTGGCCGAAAAATGGCTCGTGAGCTGAACATATAGCAATATTCCGTTCGGCAAATATTGAAAAATGAGTTCGGGGTAAAGCCTTTGAAATTTCAAAAAGTACAAGAACTTAAACCGCAACCGAAATAAAATAGATTCAAATAAGGTAAAGAGTTGCTTCGCATGGCCGAAAGTGGTGAACTGCCGAATTTGGTTGTCCAGCAGTTTGTAAACAAACAAAATGATCATGTGTACTTGCCAAAGAGGTCAGCTTAAAATGTGAACCTTCGGTTGGCCACCAGAACTCAAGTGCTAGCCATGGTGGGCCGCCATAACAGCCGATGATCGCTATCCGCTCGTATTAATCGAAAATATTGTGGAGGGTGTATTAAAACATTGGGCACGCAAAAATTTTGGCCGCAGACCTTGGACATTCCAATGGGACTCAGCACCATCGCACTCAGCACGCGCCACCTAACATGGTTACAAAATAGGGTTCCTAGCTTCATTTTCAGCTTTCCTGATTTTCGATATATTGAATTTTTCAGCCAACTAAATGAACTGTAGTTTGACAAATACTCTTCCGCCAAAAAAGTATAATATAGGCCGATTGGAGGTTTTAAGACCATGTCGCACCTCTTCCATAAAATAATCCGGGTAGGTGTTTTTTTTTTTTTTTTTTTTTTTGTATAGCCTGCATTTAGCTTTACCCCTCATGTTCGGTATTTAAAAATTTCTGTCTTAATTTTAAATAAAAATTAGCAGTTATTTGCAAATTTGTGTTCTTTTTAATTTTTCAACCGAAGTACAAGTAATTTGATCATTTGAGATATTCCTAGTCCTAGACAAAAGCTAGACAATTGTTTCAGAATTATTTAGTTTTTTTTTTAATAACCAATTTCATGTATTCACCTGTCCTGACGGGAGATTAAAAAAAAAAAAACAAAATTAAATAAATATTATAAATTATGAAGTTGTAGTTCTAATTTTCGCTATGAACATTTTTTATTGAAATTCTAGACATTTTATATTGAACTTCCAATTCTCAGTCATACGTCCGTGCCGTATGGAAATTTAAAAATAAAAGTCCTGTGCCACATGATACAATTTTCATTTCGATTTAAAAACACCTTTCGGTACTTGTTAGAAGGCCATAAATCTTGGCTAAAACTTAAAATACTACCAATGCTAAATAGAGAAACTATATTCAGTACCAAGAACTAGAAACCATTTAGAACTAAAGACAAACAACCTTGCGGTTTTTTTCCTGTGGCGGTTTGGATACCAACGTCTGTGTGCGTGTGTGTGGTTAGTGAGTTCAAAGCGAAGGTGTTGAACTTTACATAGACAATTCTCGTGAGAACATTAATAAAGGATCTGGGATAATAATCAAACCGCACACATACACAGACAAAGTTACATTGGCAAAATATATGAATGAAATTCATTGCCATCCTTGGTATGAGTCTTTCTGAGAGTATGTTTGTTTGTAGCTGGGGTTTGTGTGAAAGCAAATAAAAATATTTGATGGTATTTTCCAACATTCATTTATTTTCCCCCGCCCATCCCTTGCCTTTTCCTTCCGCCACTTCATGTTCTTCGTTATCTTCATTTCCCCGGCATCTTGCGGTCTATGTCTAGAGTCTACAATAATTTCGGTTTCATTAGAAACCTTCTTCATTGGCAATGCCAAAAAATTCCATGGAAAAAATAAAGACATCATATAATCTTACTTGATTTGAAATGAAAGCTGTTCTAGTTGCTATTGTTGTTGTTGCTGTACTCGAACATTTGTTATCCTTTCTTGTTGATTTGAGGTCCTTACTCAATGTTTCTGTGTGTTTGCTTTTTACACCAAACAATGTTCGGCGCTTTGCTTGCTTGCTGCCTGCCTGCTTTTAGCTCACGTACTTTGAAGAGGAGAAAATATAGAGCGAAAAACCACAAGAAAGGAAAAAATTGGTCTATTTAGTTAAGATTTTTCATGTGGCTGTGGCGGCGTTGTTGTTTTTGCAAATCGGTTTTCGGCACACAGCCGCGCTCACTCACAAACACTCACAGACAAAGTAAATACGCCTTATGGTATGCTATGGTTTTTGGGGTTTTGCTTATTTTAACTCCTCCAAGGATACCTTTTGAGCTGGTTAGGATTGTATATTTTTTATGTTGAGGTTTTCGTTATTCAAACGCCTCGAATTTTATTTTTTCTCGCTCTGTTAATCGTTGTTTTTGTTTGGTTTAGTGGGGTTTTCACTTTTCTTATTTGTGGCCATAAACTACAAGCTTAAGTGTAAATTTATTGGATTTTTTTGTTTAGGGTTTAACGGCCATAAATTTTTATTTATTTATTTATTTTTTTAATTGTTATTTTCCGCTTTATTCTTTTTTGACACTTTAAAATTTAATTTTCTTTTGAATATTTAAGGGTTTTGCCCAGAAATGTGTTTGCCTTCCTAACACTCGCCCAAAAGTATGCCACAACAATATATGCCCTATGCAATATTAATGCCGTATTAACACTCGCGTGCCGAAATTGTTTGACGAGCCAAAGACGATGCCACACAATATTAAATACGATTTTCAATTCGATTTTGTTTTCTTTAAAAAATATATTTTTTCGAACATTTTTTTTCGCCAGGTTTCCTTTGTTTTTTTTTTTTTTCAAATTTTTTCCAAAAATATTTCCACTTGTCAAAAATTCTAATTCACACACAAAATTTCCATGAGAACACAACACAAAACGTTTCCGCACGTTCTGTGAAAACACGTCAACTTAGCCGAAATGTCTACTTTCAACTAAACGTTTTTGCTCTGTTGGCTGGCGGTCGTACTCAGTGGAAATGACATCGTTTCGCTTACACGATTCGCCGTATGTTTAAACACTGTTAGGTTTTGTTTTGCAGCTGGTTCTGGTTGGCCTGACGGATGTACACACACAGACACACACACGGTCGTTGTGTCGTGTTTCTATAAACATTTGAAAGTATAATGTGCCAGGACAATGCTCACGACCAGTTATAGCTTCGTCCAAAATCAAACCCCCTCCCTCTCTCAACTTACTTTGGATCGCCTAAGAAAACAGCAAACACAGGTCCTGTCGTATTCATTTCAAAGAGCAGCAGGCCATTTGAATTCGCCTTACTAATTCCCCCTCATTGAAACACAAAGAAGAGGGTTGTTTCTCCCTCTCTCTCTCTCGTTCTCTTGCAACCAACACTGTTAACTAACATTCCACTCTTATTGGTCTATGCCTCATATTCAGAGAGCATCATTAACGGTTATCACAACAGCCAGAGAATGATATTCCAATTAGAATTTCCTCTGCTAAATTAAGGCGAATTCAAGAGATTCGTCTCTCTCAATAAATTTCATTTCTCAATAAAGCAACATTTCTCTCTGCCTCCCAATAAATTCCTTTTCTCGTTGAAGCAACATTACGACGACAACCGACGTCGTTTATCCTTTAAATTGGAATTTTTCTTAGTTTTGTTTATGAAAAATATATGTGCCGATGTGTAAGTGTGTGCGTGTGTTTATTGTGTAAAAAAGAAACGAAAGAGTCAACGCTCGTTTGATTGTGAAAATCACAATAGACATTTATTGACTCTGGTCTAAGGACAATCTGAAGGTGGCAGTAGTGGACATGTGCAATTTTTCGTTTTCTTTATTTCGTTTTCGCCCCAAAATTGTCAGCAACAAACTAACATGGGCATGGTGTAAAACAACAAACATCGAATTTGATGCAGTCCAGAGTCCAGAGCAAGAAGAATTAATGACAAAAGCAAATCATGTCGTTCTATTCCTTAAATCTTCATTTTGAAGAGATTTCATGGGGGAGTTTAAAATGCTCTTCAATCTGGCTGATAGAAAGTTTGATCAATTTAAATTTTTATAACCTCCACCACCTGTTTATATAGGTCAACGTTTTGGTAAAGCCTTATCGACAGTTTTAAAGTTTTTTTGTGAGGTTTCAGTCACAATATAGAGTGAGATAAAAAAGAAACTGCAACAAAGTCAAATGCCATAATTTTTTAATTTTTTTTAATTGTATTAAATGAAAGCAAAAAATGTCGGAAATAGCATCAAATTTTAGAATAAATTTAGATTTGTTGGAATTGGTCACCTTTGGCACAAATTATGGTCTTCAAACTGCCAATGAAACCGTCACACGCTGGCCGAATATTGTTCTGCGGTATTTTGGCCCATTCCCGGTGAAGTGGGGAATTTTATATTTATGTGCAGGTACACGTCTTCTTATAGCCCCCATATAACGGTATCTCCCATTATATCACGATTTCAGCAAAATTATTCACCGGAATCGACAAATTTCACATTAAAAGATCGTAATGGGTACCATAACTTATGCCAAAAAAAAAAATCGTATGCAGATCAACGTCCTATAGCCTCCATATGACGGTGCCTCCCGATATTCGGTATTTTGATGATTTTGGCGACATTGTTCACCGGAATTATTTCAAATTTGGTATTTGAAATTCGCACTGGCCTATGACAGAAAATGGTCTGTGCAGGTCCATGTCTTCGTATAGCCCCCATAAAACGGTACCTCCCCATATTTGACATTTTGATGATTTTAGCGAAATTATTTGCCGGAATTGTTTCAAATTTGGTATTTGAAGTTCGTAATGGATAGTGCAGCCTAAGGCAGAAAATTGTCTGTGCAGGTCTACGTCTTCGTATAGCCCCCATATAACAACACCTCCAGATATTCGGTATTTTCATAATTTTTGCGACATTATTTACCGTAATTGTAACAAATTTTGTATTTGAAGTTCGTCATGGGCACTACAATGTCTTCGTATAGTCCCCATCTAACGGGTTTCATTTAAGTTGTAGTTTTCGGAATACTTCTTTGAAAATTTTGAATTTCCTTCGAAATGGTGCGTTTTTTACTTGTTTAGTGGCAACCTTACTTTCCAAAATACTCCAGACACAATAGTCCAACGGATTGATATCCGGAGATTTTTGTGGCCATTGTGCGCTGGATATGAAACGAATGAACCTCATTTTGTAACCATTCTTGAGTTGCGCGTGCTGAGTGCGATGGAGCTGAGTCCTGTTGGAAAGTCCAGGGTCTGCGGCCAAAATGTTTGCGTGCCCAAGGCTTCAATACACCCTCCAGAATATTTTCGCGACCAGCGGCTGTTATGGCGGCCCACACCATCACCATGGCCGGCGCTTAATTTTCGGTGGCCAAACGAAGGTGCACATTTTCAGCTGACCTCTTTGGCAAGTAAACATGATCATTTTGTTTGTTTACAAACTGCTAGACAACGAATATTTTCTCACCAGGAAATACCAAATTCGGAAGTTCAACACTTTCGGCCTTTAGCTCATTTGAGTATATTTTCTTTCCGTTGCGGTGTAAGTCCTTGAACTTTTTGGAATTTCATTCGCTTTACCCCGAGCTCATTTTTCAATATTTGCCGAATGAGCCATTTTCGCTTCTTTACTTTTCGAAACATTTCTGCTAACGTTGCTGTTTTCTTCCGTCCACTTTCTTGTCGTCGGGCTACGCTACGATGGTACGAGACACAAAAGATTTATTCACATTTAAATGCTGGAGTGTTCTAACGATAGCCACATGGGGGTTTCCAGCCAAATATAAAGAAGTCACACTAACACGCTTGAATTCCATCACGATTAAAATTTCTTCTGCAAAATTCTCACCAAAAATGCTTTTGTACGCTTGTAAAAAATATAATAAGCTGTCACTGGAATAATCTTAACAGATGTCGGACTGATGTCTTAGAAATGACAGCAGTTTGAACTTGGTTGCAGTTTTTTCATCTCACCAAAAACCACATGAAAAATCCAATAGTTTACGAAAGTAGAATAGCACATTGCAGAGTAACCTAAATAAAGGCGGTTAGTAACCCATTCCCAAATTTTTTTCTTTTTGCATCCCTTGGAATCCTTGCATTTAATGTATATAAGAGGTCCTATATTTTTTTAAGGTATGGCTTAAAACTTAATTTATCTTCAATTTCTGCTATAGGTCACAGAATGCATCAAAAGTCTAAATATCATCTCAACGCCAAAAATTCATAGATTTTCGAGTTAATGTCGTGCTTCATGTAGTTTATGCAAAATGCTTCGAAAAAGCACTATTTCAGAAGGAGGACGTCAAAGACAAAAATATTTTTCATAAAAATTATTTTTTTCATTTCCATTCTTACTATAAGAATAATATTTGACAAAAATATATTTCCAATTTTCTATAAATTTTTCCTGAAGGCGTGTGTCGAAAAATTCACTATTTACATCAGATCTTTGTTTGAGTGAAACATTATTATATGCTTAGTTCAAATGAAGTCCCTAATACCTAGCACGTTATTAGAGTTATAAATATTTAAAATGTTGAACCTTTTGTGGGGAGGTAGCTGAGGGGGTGGTCTGAGTTGTTGAAAATTCGAAGTGGATTTGGTAGTACTCGGTTTGTGGATTAAACCCCCAAATTAGTTTCGAATTCGTAGTCCAATTTTTTTAAGGATTTTATGTAACCTTGACCATTAACAGATGTACCCCAATATTTGGAGATGTATTTGGGAAACATTGAAAGAATCATTGGTATATGAAATGAATCACAGACGTCAACTTTTTAGTCGTATAAAATCCTGAAATTCTAGATTTTGCCAAATTTTGATATTTTGAGATCTTATTATAAGGGAATATTACAATCAAACAATTACCGATAAAGATCTACCTTTTCTAAGCTGCTGCGAGGGATTTGCTAATTTTCCAACCGAAGGGCAAACAAAAAAAAAAAAAAATTGGAAGAAGAATAATAATTTCATCGAATGTGAAGTAGTTTCTGATATTCTTTAAATTTCACACTTTTTAATTATTCTTTCATGGTAAGATTCTCTTCTCTCGAAAGTTCAAAAATTGGGGAACAGATATAAAGATACCCCCTGATATAAGTTTCTGAGAGGGATTTGGCTAATTTTCCAAACGATATGGCTTTCAGGCGAGGACAGTGGTCAAAAATTCTGAAGAAAAATAATAATTTCTTCGAGTATGAAGTAGTTTTTGATTTTCTTTAAACTTCACACTTTTTAATTATTCTTTCATCGTAAGATTCTTTCCTGTCGGAAGTTCAAACATTTTGGAACAAAAATATAATGAAGCTTCGTACATAGCAACATTGTTATTATGTTTGTTTAGTTAATTGGGAAAAGGGGCAATATCGGTCCATTCCTTCTGACGAAAAATAAATTAAAACAAAAAATAATAATTAATTAAATATTCTGGGACTGTGAAATTTTTAAAAGAAAAAAAAAAAACAAGTAAAAAAGCTGTAAGTTCGGCCGAACTTTTAATACCCTTCACCATTTGGTACAAATTTAACGATTTTCCAAAAAAAAAAAAAAAAAATCCGTTAAAAATTCTGCTAAAATCTTTAAAATACCGAATGTAGCCGGATATTAGGGTATATACGACGACGTGGACCTGCATAGGCAAATTTTGTCACAAACTATTACAATATTCAAATGCGAAACTTAAAAAAATCTGTTTATAATGCAGCTAAAATCATCAGAATACCGAATATAGGGAGGTACCATGGCGGTTATAAAACGTGGACCTGCACAGATAATTTTCTGTCATTGGCTGTAGTATCCATTAAGAAATTCAAATACCAAATTTAAAATAGTTTCGGTAAATAATGTCTCTAAAATCATCAAAATACAGTTATAGTTATATGGGGGCTACACGAAGACGTGGACCTAAATGGTCCATTTTCTGTCATAGTATCTATTACGAACTTTAAAAACCAAATTTTAAACAATTCCGGTAAATAATGTCGCTAAAATTATCAAAATACCGAACACCGGGGGTTATACGAAGACGTGGACCTACATGGCCCATTTTCTGTCATATTCTGTAGTATCTATTTCGAACTTCAAATACCAAAATTGAAACAATTCCGGTAAATAATGTCGCTGAAATCATC